TTTCCAGACATGTCCCAGACAGATGCCCCAGACCCGGTAAATGTAACTACCTAGCCCCGCTAAATGTAACTACCAAGGGCCAGGCATGCCCCAAGCACAATGTCCCAGACATGCTACAACAGCAGCAGTAAGGTGGGAGACATATAACCCTTTCCATCTTCTTTCTTCACATATTATCACACTGGAAGGGCTAGAGAACCAGCTAAGACAGGGAAGAGACATTTAGAAAAGAAATGTTCCCTCCTAATGAAGCTGGGGCCACCGGCTCTAAACAAAAGGGAAAGGAAGAACTTTAAGCTGGATATAATATTTGAATTTTAAATTAGGCCAGAATGAATATTTTAATAACCAAAAGGACACAGAAAGTTAACAAATCTGAAATCTGCCCAGAAATAGCAACTTGGCAAAACTGTTAAACGAAGTTGTTTGTAGGTAAATAAAGCCATGTCATATCTGTAACTCTATTACAAAAAAAAAAAAAAAATACTTGCAAGTCAAAATGGCTCCTTGATTCATGGAGTACAGAATGGATGTTTTATTAGCGGCATGAAAATGACGTTATAATCTCCTTGTACATCTCTATTAGGGTTCTTAGGTAACCAGGTGCATTGTCCCCAGCTGTAATATTCTAAAAGAAATCTTTTTTTGTGTGAGCAGAAGTCTCAACCTTGAGCCTAAAACATTCAGTAAAGCATGCTGTAAACAGATATGCTGTCATCCAGGTGTTGTTGTTCCTTATATACAGCACAGTCAGAGTAGATTAGAGCAGATTTTTTCAGAGTGGTCAACAAACACTGGTTTCAACCTAAAGTCACCAGCTGCACTGGTCCCTAACAAGGGAGTCAGCCTGTCCTTTGAAGCTTTGAGCCAGATGTTGACTTCTCCTCTCTAGCTATGAAAGTCCTAGATGACATCTTCTTCTGCTAGAAGGCTGTTTCATCTACACTGAAAATCTATTGTTTAGGGTGGCCACCTTCGTCAATTAACTTAGCTAGAGCTTCTGGATAACTTGGTGCCATTTGTACGTCTTGTACTTCTATGTCCTGGAGATGGTTTCTTCCCTTAAACCTCAGGGACCATCCTCTGCTACGTTCAAATGCTTCTTCTGTAACTTCCTCACCTCTCTCAGCCTTTGCAGAATGGAAGAGGATTTGAGCCTTGCTCTGGATTAGGCTTAAGGGACTGGGGCGTCTGGTTTGATCCTCTACCCAGGCCTCTCCAATTTTCTCTTGTCAGCAGTAACACTGTATTGCTTTCTTGACATTCATGTGTTCACTGGAGTAGCGCTTTTAATTTCCTTCAAGAATTTTTCCTTTGAAACTTATCTAATATTTGGTTCAAGACGCCTAGTTTTTAGCTTATCTTGCCTATTGACGTGCCTTCCTCACTAAGCTTAACTGTTTCCTGCTTTTGATTTAAAGTCAGGGATGGGACTCTTCCTGTCACTTGAACACTCAGAGGACACTGTACGGTTATTAACTGGCCTAATTTTGTCTTGGGGAACAGTGAGGTCTAAGGAGAGGGAGAGAGATGTGCAGTTCATGGTGCCCCTAAACAATTACAGTAATAACATCAAAGATCACTGATCATATAACAGATATAATAATAATGAACAAGTCTGACGTATTGCGAGAATTATCACAATGTGACAGAGACACCAAGTGAGTATGTGCTGTTAGAAAGATGATGCTGGCAGTCTTGCTGACATGAAGTTTCTGCAGACCTTCAATTTGTAAAAAAAGAAAAAACAAAACACAACCCCAGTATCTGCAAACTACAATATTAAGTGAAGTACAATAAAACTAGGTGTGTCTGTAGTTCTTATTTCTATAGAAGGTAAGACCTTTTTGGGTCATCCAAGTGAAATTTATGGTAATGATCATGAAACCTGCAAGTTATTATCCCTGCAGGGATCATGAGTCTATATCCTGGAAGAGAGAGGACAGAATCTAGAAATGCCCCAGCTGTGAACCAGGATTTCCTTTCTTTTAATATAAATGTCCCAAATTAACACCAGACTAGTGACATATGGGTAAAAGCCCATAAGGCTCAGAAATAAAGGGAAATGGAGATTGTAGTGCCTACATAATAAATTTAAAGAGGTTGCAAGGGAACAGTACTATAAGCAAAGACAGGCAATACTAGCACAGAAAGAATATAATGAACTAAAATAAAGAAAATAAATAAAAAACATGCTACTAATTCAGTTGTGTGCTATGAAACGATTTGTCCTATGTGGGACAGAGACATCAACAGAGGGTATTAGTAGTCTATGAAAACCACAGTGATCTCTGAGAAAAATAATAGTGAAAAAAAGTCTGTTAGGAACAAACACATCAGAAATAAGAGCTAATGTTACTTTGAAATATTTTAAAGAAATTCCCAAGTGGCCATTAAATGTATGTTTTATCCTAGGTTCTCCGAACTAAACGGATGTACTAAACAAGGTTTATATGATTCTCCCTACATAAAAACCTTCCTATTTTCTCAAATTAAATCATATTTCTCTTTCAGGCCTACTGAAGATGTTGCCATTGTACTGCTAGATTGAGTTATTTACTGAGTCACTAGTAAATACCATTAGTAAAATATTTTAATGACTTAAGACAGTGGTTACACAGTTATTAAAAATTTATTTTTCAGGCCGGTGCCTGTGGTTCAGTGGGTAGGGCACCGGCCCCATATACCAAGGGTGGCGGGTTCAAACCTGGCCCCAGCCAAACTGCAACAATAACAAAAAAATAGCCTAAGCCCAGGAGTTGGAAGTTGCTGTGAGCTGTGTGATGCCAAGGCACTCTACTGAGGATGATAAAATGAGACTCTGTCTCTACGAAAAAAAAAATATATATATTTTCTAGTTACATGGTTTTATTGGTGAGTTTGTCTAATTCCTAACAAAAAAAGAGTCTGGCATGTGGTGGTATTCCCAGCTACTTGGGAGGCTGAAGCAGAAGGATCACTTGAGCCCAGGAGTTTGAAGGTGTAGTGAGCTATGATCACACCTCTGAGTAGCCACTGTGTTCTGGCCTGGGCAACATAGCAAGATTCTACATCTTAATGAAGTTATATGTGTATATACAATATACATTTGTTTCATTAAAAAAAAACCCATACTGCTGATCATGGCAGACAAGTTATTACTATCTCTCTGATAAAGAAACAGAAAATGAAGTTGAGGGGGAGGGGGCAGCAAATGGGCAGGAGCCCAAGCACAATGGAATCACTTCAATCCAGATACAATCAAAGGAGAAAGGATAATGCCAGACAAGCAGAATGGCATTCACAGATCTAAAGAGAAAATGCAGAAGGCATCACCTTGGCAAATAAGAGTTGTATTCACCAGGTAATAAACCCCCTAAAGGTCCTTATTTACCCAGAAGATACACAGAGTCGGATAGGTAACTGAAAGGCCAGCATTTCTCCTGCTCACTTCTTCTTGGGGGCTACCTCCCATGGGACAGGAGGCACAACACTAGCTGGCACAATGTCCCACCAAACTGACTCTCCATTGTCAGACTGTCTGGCCAAGGGGAGAGATGCTTACTTGGTTATCACAGGAGAAGATGACCTCTTAGAAGCACCTCCAGGAAACTCGCATCTTCTCAGAGGGGATCCGAGGCTCCCAGTGGGGGAGGAAGTTGTCATTCGCTGCCCCCTCTTCATCTTCTCTGTCTACAGGGGACACAGAACAGCATAGACATAGCCCATGATCGGTACCACTCCCACAGCTTCTAAAAATAATACCCCAGATAAACAAGGCACAGCTTTCTTTTAGAGGGATCAACACGGAGCTATAATGCTTCACATGATAGGAATCTTTGCAGGGAGGTACTATGAGGTCATCACATTTAGATTACCCAGTAATGCTAGGCACAGTGATGTGTGTTTGTAACCCCAGCTATTTGGGAAATTGAGGTGGGAGGATTGCTTGAGGCCAGAAGTTGTAGACCAGCCTGGGCAACATAGTGAGACCCCATTTCTAAATAATTACATAATAGGTTTAAGTAAGTTTTAGCCTCAAAATGTAGAGATTTTCTTCTCCTTGTTATCTTGCAAAGAACTAACACTAGAACCATACTATGGTCCTGGACATATGAGTACAAAGATGTAAAATCACTACAAAAAATTCTAAGTGGGTGAAATGCATTATAACATCCAAGACAGCAGGCTGTGGACCCTGACTGTACATACGGTCTGACAGGTACTGCAACCCCACCCAGCCCTCCATGTCTTCTCCATCACCTTCAACAGAAGGCAAAAGAAAATGGACATCAGCGCTTTGCCCCCAGAGGGAGCTCCCTACCATACTTTTCTGCAGTGAATCCTCATACAGTCCCCACACCCACGTGCATCAATTCCCTTCTACAGTAATCTACCTACAAAGCCTGAAATATGTAGTTCTCTTTAAAAAGGGCCACAATAGATTTGAAAAGCAAACATGGTATTACAGAATGCTCATTAGCATGATTTCCTAAATTTTTATACTTTGGCTTTATCAGTCACAAGTATGTGTCCACAATGCTCCCATTTATGGGGAAGTCTTTCCCCTCAGAACATGTAAAATCAAGCCCATGTGATATGACTTGCAGCTATAAAGCCGTCGCAAGAAAAATACACATACATTTCAGAACTGAATAAAGGAAAGTTGTATCTAAAAAAAAGAAAAGCCCAATAGTGCAGTCATGGGGCAGTTTTAAAATAAGTACACACATTATTCCAACTCCTCCCTTCAGTGTGAAGCTTAATTCTTTCCTCCGCTTGGGTGCAGGTTGATCTGAGCGACTTTTTAATAAACAGTGTATGGTAAAAGTGACAGGTAGGACATAAAAGGCACTGTAGCTTCCCCCTTGTACTGTCTCTCAAGCCCCCTGCTTTGGGAGAAGCCAGCTGCCATGTTTGGATACTTGAGCAGCCTTTCGGACAGGCCCATGCAGTGAGGAGCTGTCTCATAAGAGGCCCAGTCAAGCTTTCAGATAGTGCAGCCCTGGCCAGCATCTTGACCACAGCCTCACGAAAGACTCTGTAACAGAACCACCTGGCTAATTCACTCTGAGTCATTATCTATTCTTTTAAGCTGCCAAGATTAGAGGTAATTTGCTATGTAGCAATTGGTAACTAACAAATGTAGTATGGCATATACCCATGTATAATTTCTAAATAAACATTAGGAATACCTGCTCCACATTTACTTTACTAGTGGTGTCAATATGCCATCAACAATGTTTAAAAACTACTGTTGTGGGTGAAAATTGATCTAGAACTTCAGTTTTAGTTATTCTCACGGGTAAGACTAGCTCAGAATCAGATAACCACAGACAGACAGAAAGGATTCCTGGACCATTCCTTCTGACTCCTGTCCTTTGGAGGGCAGACTATACCAAGGATATCATTAAGAATTTGCTCTAAGGGCAGTGCCTGTGGCTCAAAGGAGTAGGGTGCCAGCCCTATATGCCGGAGGTGGTGGGTTCAAACCCAGCTCCAGTCAAAAACTGCAAACAAACAAAAAAAAAAGAATTTGCTTTAAGACACTAAGACTTAGGAGAGCCCAAAAAGTTAAATGATTTTTGCAAGGTTAGGAAAAATTTTAAATCCCACCTGTTGTTCCCTTTGAGTAGACCCTGGAAGACTGATGGACACAGAGACCCAGGGGAAGCGCAGGAAGCAATCACTTTGTCACATAAACCACGGTCTAGAGGAGTGGGGGGAATTAAACCTACCGGAGAGGCCTCTGCTCCTGCAGGGGATCCTCTTCCAGAATCTCCTACGCCAGATGCAGACGTAGCCTTCTTCCGCTCAGTGTTTCGAGTGGGAGAAGACTTGTAAGAAGATTTAAGAGCGCCAGCAGGAGCTATACGAGGACGGGTATGAGATACTGGAAAGTTACAGTATAATAGTCATAGAGACAGGGAGTGCAGATAGAAAAAGTAGGGAGAGCAAGGAGTTAGAAAGAACATATATTTCTGTTAAAATGAGACCTGGGCAATCCATACTCTCAAACACCATACTTTGCTACTATACACAGAATAGATTCTGTCCTGAAACAGCTCCCATACTCAAGCCAAGTTCATTTTAGGGGTTAGAAGTCTGCACTTTGGAGTCAGGTAGACCTGTATTGCCACCTACACAGCTGGATCACCTTGAGTAGGTTACCTAACTTCTCCAAACATCAATCTCCTCATGTGCAGTAAAGTTAGCACAGCAGGCCTGACTGTTGCCCTTCCAAAGGCCCCCTCACATGGCTGGCCCATGGCCAGCATCTGGGAACTTAGATTTCAGGAGTGGCCCCACCATTAACTGATGAGTGCTGGAACTTGCCTTCCTTCTGGGAGTCTGGAATTTGGTTGTACACCTGCCAGGAGACACCTATGTGATCAGCCCCCAATAAAATCCTTGGGTACTGAGTCTCTGGTGAGCTTTCCAGGCTGGCAACATTTCATGTGTTGTCACAACTCATTGCTGGGGGAATTAAGCACGTCCTGTGTGATTCCACTGAGAGAGGACTCTTGGAAATTTGCACCTGGTTTCCTCCCGGCTTTGCCTCACGTGCCTTTCCCTTTTGCTGATTTTGCTCTGTACCTTTTACTATAATAAATCGTAGCCATGAACATGGCTGTCTGCTGAGTCCTCTGAGTCCTGGTGAACCATCAAACCTGGAGGTGGTCTTGGGGACCCCTGACACAATTAGTGTCAGAAGGGGAAATTAGTAGATTGACCCCAATTAATTGAAATTTGGTAAAACATATTGTTCGGGAAAAGGGAGGATAAAGGGGCAGAAGACAATGAACTTGTGGTGTCTGGGAGGCTATGAAGTCATCTATGGCATGAGACAGCAGCTGAGCTGCTGTCAGCTGTGAGAAATAGAAGTTACTGATGAAATCTGAAAGTGATCCATGTGGCTCCAAGAGAGGCTGCTCAATGGATCCCCTGGCTGCTTTGGGCCCTGCTAGCTGAAGTGAGGGGGAAGAGCCAGCCACCCAGCTGATTGACAACTATTGGTTTTTGTTTGTCCTCCAAGTGGAAGTAGGACACAACTTCCTTGCTTTTTGCCACCAGTGGGTGGGCTGGAATTTAAACTCTTGAGTGCTGGAACCAGAACAAGTCTCCACAAGTGACTTTTTTTGTTATGACTTTTGCCTAATGGAGCCTCTGAAAAAAGGAGTTGTGAAAAGAGAGGCAATTTCCAGACAGAAATATACTTTTGGGGTTTTAAAAATCAACTAGGGGGCCAGGAGTGGTGGCTTATGCCTGCGATCCTAGCAGTCCGGGAGGTTGAGGTGGGAGGATTGTTTGAGGTCAGGTGTTTGAGACCAGCCTGAGCAAGAGTGAGACCCCGTCTCTATAAAAATAAAAAATTAGCCAGGCATTGTAGCAGATGCCTAGAGTCCCAGCTACTTGGGAAACTGAGACAGGAGGGTCACTTTAGCCCAGGAGTTTGAGGTTGCTATGAGCTATTATGACATCACTACACTCTACCCTGGGCAACAGAGTGAGATTCTGTCTCAAAATAATAATAATAATAATAATCTCACCTCACCTAATATGTATGATGCAGTGGTACATTCAAAACTATTAAGAAAGGGATATAATTGTGATGGATGTGTTAATAAGTTCAATGTTAAGTATTTCTCATTCTATATCAAATCAGTACACTGAACCCCATAAATGCATCAACGTACAAAGTTACAATTTAATAAAAAGTAATAATAATAATAATCAACTGAGGACCACTGTAGATACAGAATAGCCCTCCCTGGGGCCAGAAACTATAAAAACATCCTGGATGCTGCTGGACCTTCTGGGTCACGTACAAGTGCCCAGAGGACAGGGTGTACTCTCATGAGACCATCTAAAATCAAGCTGCTCACTGGCTCTGTATTTCTGATGCAAAGCCTGACTGTTTTTCCAATATGTGATTCCTGCAAAAGCTGGAAGTTAAGCAAAGGAGGACACTGCAAGCAATGTGACCCCTTCACCCACCCCAGACAGATCAGACCCCACCCGCTCCGGGGGACGTGTCACTGCTGTCAACATCTTGTGTTTGAACAACAGACTGAGAGCCTGACTCTACTTCCTTCCCTTTCTTCCAGTGACATACACTTTAGTGAGGCAACTTGTTAAATGCAACTGCCCTGGGCAGCACCTGTGGTTCAAAGGAGTAGGGTGCCGGCCCCACGTGCAACTGTCCTCCGAAAGGGAGTGATCTTTTCTGTGATGCTCACTGTATAAATGATTAGGATGAAAGGGAGAGGTGGTGATACAAACCTATTCTGAAATTTTTTGAAAATATAGGATTTTGTCTTAATGCCTGAACATAATGGGTCTTCCTGGTTAACTTGGATAAAAGTGGTTCTTTTGTAAAACTACTTTTATCCTTTCTTTGAAAAGACTGGGTAAGAGTGGGGGATAATTAAGTAAATATAAAGTTTTAATTACTAAATAGGACATGGAGGAAAAAAACAACAAAACCTGGCACCTGGTTTTTTTGGGGGGGCAGGGGTGTTCCTAAGTCAGTCCTCAATACAAGGGTTTTTAAAAAAAAAAAAAATCCTGGCACCTGGAGTGGTACAGGGGAGGTGAAGGACATCTGTGATCTTTGTTTTCCAGAAGTGCTCCTGGAAGCTCTCCCTGTACACAAAGGAAAATTCCCTGTGGTGCTGCAAGTCCTTGGATTTAGACCAGTGATTTTCAAATGTATGCCATGAAAAATTTTAAAAATCATTAATTAAATTATTTTCAAAAGAAGTTCACAGCACAGGTGGTGCCTGTAGCTCACTGGGTAGGGTGCTGGCCACATACACCGAGGCTGGTGGGCTCGAACCTGGCCCGGGCCAGTGAAAACAACAAAGACAACTGCAACAACAAAAAAAATAGTGAGGCGTTGTGGCAGGCACTTGTAGTCCCAGCTACTTGGGAGGCTGAGGCAAGAGAATCGCTTAAGCCCAGGAGTTTGAGATTGCTGTGAGCTGTGACACCACAGCACTCTAACCTAGGGCAACAGCTTGAGACTCTGTTTCAAAAAAAAAAAAAAAAAGAAGTTCAAAGCATACCAAGTATATTCTCTTTTTACTCTTTTTGTTGATCAACATAATTTAAGTGTGCCTTAGGTATCCTGCAGAAGTTTAACTATTGGTTCAAGTGTGCTGTGAGATTAAAAAAAAAAAAGGTTAAAAAACATTGATTAAGACCAATGACTAAGCCTAGAGGGCTGGCATGTGATAGCGCTGACGATGAGCTGATGGAGGTGGGCCAGCTCCTTATATCCCCCACAGGATATTTCCAGGTGCTGTTCACATTTGCCAGGCCAACAAAGTAGGATCACTGACAGACTATCTAGGACTGACACCTCAGGAAGCCCCCTGGAACCAGGAGCTGGACTGAACCACTTGCCCTGTACTGAGCATCCTGGGGTGGGAGGCACCAGGTGAAAGGCCACACTGGGGCTGCCTGGCCAATGCACATCCTGCTCGGGGTACCCGAACGTGGTCAACTGTGTTTTCAGGAGACCACATGAAGCCCCAGGATTGCACTCCTTGTGTGCCATGACTATCATGACACTGCCTCAGCCCTGGAAAATGTTCAGGTCCACTTCAACTTACTGGCCAGAGCGGTGCTGGGTCCAAGTTGACGCCTCAGGCTAAGTAAAAGGATTACTATAGCAAGTGATAGAAGTCACCGGAGTGTCTAACACAGACTTTTATGGTTAATAGGATTTGCTTTAACTGCTTAGTCCAGAAGCCCAAAAGGACATCATTGAGCTCAATACTGCAGGTTGGTCTTACCCTGCTGTGTGGAGTCCTACTGATAATTCTTCTAATGCCTTGGCCAAGGGTCAAGGGGGACAGACTGTGCACAAAAGAGTTAATATAATAGACTTGATTGCTGTTGCCAGAAAGGCCCACTTATAAGGTTGGTCCTTGGCCTGCCTCTGTGAACTTAAATTTTGGAAGGGTTCCACTGTTAACTAAAGAGTGGCTCTCTGTGCCTAAACTGTTTGTACAAACAATACGGTGTATGCTGAATACCTGCTTTCCTTCTGGGAACCTGGAATTTGGGTATGTGCTGGGCAAAGGGTACACGTGACCAGCCTCCAGGAGAAACCCCAGGCATTGAGTCTCTAACGAGCTTCCCTGGTTGGCAAAACATCATACATGTTCTTACAACTCCTTCCTGGAGAAAAGGCATCCTGAGCGGCTCCACTGGAAAGGACTCTGGAAGCTTGTGCTGGTCATCCCTGGACTTTGTCCCATGTGCCCTTGCCAATTTTGCAGTGTACCCTTGTACCATAATAAATCTTGGGTGAGTACAAATATATATTGAGTCCTGTGAGTCCTCCTAGAAAATCACTGATCCTGGGGTTGGTCTCAGGGAACCCTCGTACATTCCTCATTCTCAACATGAGGAAATGTCCTACTTGCCAGGGTTTTTTTGTTTGTTATATAATTCACATACTGTAAGATTCACCCTTTCAAAAGTATACAGTTCAGTGGTTTTTAGTATATTCACAATTTGTGCAACCATAACCACAGCCTAATTCCAAAACATTTTTAAGACCCCCCCCCCCCCGAACAAACTATCCCTTAAGCAGTCATCTCTCTTTCTTTCCTCCCCTCATCCTTGACAACCACTCATCTATTTTCGGTCTCTACGGATTTGCCTATTTCAGACATTTAATATAAATGGAACCATACAATCTGTGGCCTTTTGTGACTGGTTTCTTTCATGTAGCACGTTTTCAAGGTTCGTCCATCTTCAAGCATGTATCAGGACTCTGTTTCCTTTTATAGCTAAATAATATTCTACTTTACGGATATAGCACATTCTGTTTATCCATTCACCTGTGATGGGTATTTGAGTTGTTTCCACTGTGTAGCTTTTGTGAACAAATTGCTGCATAAACCTATGGTTTTCCTAACCCAGGAGTCATATGAGTCATATGGTAACTGAGTTTAACTTTTTGAGGAACTGCCAGATCATTTTCCGTAGTGGCTACACCACTTTTACCTTTCCCCCAGCAGCGTATAAGGGTCCAGTGTCTGCACACCTTCACCAACACTTGTTATTTCACCTTTTAAAAAAACGTAGCCATCCTAGTGGGTGTAAGGTGATATCTCACTGTGATTTTAATTTGCATTTCCCTAATGACTAATGACATCCAATATCTTGCCATGTGCTTATTGGCTGTTTGTATATTTTCTTCGCAGAAATAGTGTAACTTGGGAAGCAGCTACTACTAGGTAGAGCTTGCATGTCATTTACATGTCATCACACTGAATACACTATCATGGGAACTGAAATCAGGCCTGACCTTACGTGGATATAGTATTGCTCATTTGCAAACAAAGAGAATGCCAGCCCTCGTTAATCTTGACATAATGCTTTTATCTACTTTGATAAGGATCTGGCCCAGTGTTTCTCAGATTTTAATGTGCAGGTTGGATGGGGCCTGAGAGTCAGCCTTCCAACCAAGTTCCCACGTGATGTTGCTGTTTCTGGTCCATAGACCACCACCCTTTGAGTAGTGAGACTCTAGACATTTGTTGAGCGATTACTCTGTGCCAATTATTGTGCTCTCGTTTGCATGGACTGTCTTATTTAATCTTCATAATAATTTAAAATAACTCCATTGTATAGATGAGCAAATGGACTCGTTAGAAGTTAATTTACTTGCCCACACTGGTAAGAGCTAGTGAGTGGTAGAGCTGGTTTGGGGACTCCAGAGACTGTGGTCTATGGGCTACTTTGCCAAATCATCTCACAGTTAAGAAAAGTCTACTAACCTCCACAGTCATCAAGTGTATTTTTCACTAATGTACATGCCCTCAGCCATAAAACAATTTACTCACCTCTGTGACACTTAATAAAACATAGAACAGCAAAACACTGATGGGTAGAAAATGTTATCAACCATTGAAGACATTTCACAAAGCTAGCAAATAGGAAGCAAAATACAAAAAATCAGGAATAAATCATAGGCTGACCAGCACCTCTTAGGGCATTTTCCTTGTATCAATAGCTTGGCCTCTTTTACCTGAGTCACTGGCCTGCTCAGAGAGCATAAGTGTACTTCTGCTTCTGGCTAAAGAAGCCTGTGTGGGTGTCAACAGTCGCATAACAAGAAAATCCATGGGACTATGGTGCGTGCGATGAGCTGAGGGATGGAATCAAATGAAAATTTTAAAAAGCAAAATTAAACAAAATAAAATGTTTAAACAATACAGTGCATGATGCAAATTAACTTTGGGGTGGCAGAATTAAAATGGAAAATAAGTATGTTCTAACAAAGGATGATTTTGGATCCTGTCATAGTAAAATAAAACAAATGATGGTGTCATTTAAAGTTTGAGAGAGTGCCTTAATTCTCTTGAGTGCCAGAATTCACTCAATCTGTTATTACAATATAGTGACCTGTATCATTCAAAAAGAATTAGCCCACCTCCCAAGATGTAACACAGACTCAAGAAATCATTTACTCACCAAGTAGATCTAACAATGATGAAAAGATGCCTATATAAGACTTGTTTTAGATCCTCTATTAAGAAATATCTCATAACATATTGATTTCTTAGATGAAATATGTCATCCTATAATACCATAAAGGATACTTTGATACCATCTCCATGTATATGGGTCAAAGTTAAGTGAGAAGCACAAAAATAAAAACATCCAACTGATTATTAGCTTTAATGAAAGATAATAGTATTCATGATCATAAATTCAATGATTGGACTATTTTGATCATTTTGGAATGTATTTTTTTTAAAGGTTTTTTGTTTATTTGTTTTCTTATTGTTGTTTGCAATTTTTGGCCAGGCTGGGTTTGAACCCGCCACCTCTGGTATATGGGGCTAGTGCCCTACTCCTTTGAGCCACAGGTGCCACCCCGGAATGTATTTTTTTTTTGAGGCAGAGTTTTATTTGTTGGCCTGGGTAGAGTGCCATTGCGTCATAGCTCACAGCAACCTCAAACTCCTGGGCTCAAACGATTTACTTGCCTCAGCCTCCCAAGTAGTTGGGACTATAGGCACCTGCCACTACATCCGGCTACTTTTTAGAGAGAGGGTCTTGCTCCTGCTCAGGCTGTTCTTGAACTTCTGAGCTCAGGCAATCCACCTGCCTCGGCCTCCCAGAGTGCTAGGATTACAGGCATGAGCCACCACGCCCGGCCTGATTTCGGAAAGTATTATATGGCATTAGATTAACTTTTCCATTACTCTGTATTCTTTGGGTGCCTAATAGCTAGAAAATAGCTTGGAGGCTAAAATTTTTCTTTTTTTTTTTTTGAGACAGAGCCTCAAGCTGTCCCCCTGGGTAGAGTGCCGTGGCATTACAGCTCACAGCAACCTCGAACTCCTGGGCTCAAGCGAGTCTCCTGCCTCCGCCTCCCAAGTAGCTGGGACCACAGGCGCCTGCCACATCGCCTGGCTATTTTTTGGTTGCAGCCGTCATTGTTGTTTGGCGGGTCCGGGCTGGGGATTCGAACCCGCCACCTTAGGTGTACGTGGCTGGCGCCTTAGCTGGTTGAGCTATAGGTGCCGAGCCGAGGCTAAAATTTTTCAATTGTAATCCACAAGAAGATAATTCAGTTGTCAGCAATCTATAATAATATATTGCTGTATTTACATATTAATTATGTAAAATGAATCATGCAAAAATGAATTTAACATCAATCTGGAACCATGTGAATTAATAAAAACACATGGAATACACTTGCTAATGGAAAAGGTGTGTAAAGTTAAAAGTATAGGTGTTTCTCATCCAGCTCCTAATTACTTCCCTGGCACTTACTCATGAACTTCATCAGAGATCAGCAGCATTATGACCTTACAGGGTCTCTGACACATATAACATGCCTCTGGGATGAAAGTGCAAGGTCAATGCCAGTGAAACCAACCAGGAAGGCAAACTGGCCTCTGCCAAATCACAAATATCCTTCTGCCTGACCCCTTGGTAATGACTTGATGTGTTAAATACTCCACTGGAATCTGACACTTCTTTAGTGTGGCTTTAAAACATGCCATGTAGTGCCTGGAGAGCTTCCCTCTCTTCCTTAACCTCCATACTCTGAAAGGTATAAAGTCAGACTTTCAGTCACTTATCTGAGCCTCTGTTAGAACACGGACCATGTTAAATCTACTCAGGATGCAGAACTGGTACGTGTCCTAGGTACATCTTCTCCCACCTCAAACAGTGCCTGAAAAGGCCACCCATTTCTTTCCCCTTTCAGAAGCCTCATGTTAGTTCCACGCTTCTGTTTTCATCTACAAACGGACAGGCCTGCAATCCATGGATGACTGCAGAGTCCATTTTTCCAATCTGAGCCTCCCGTGTAACTCTGACTCATTACTTCTGCTCCTTCTGGATAATCAACTGCATCCCATCACTGGGCAGGTGCTTTAATTCTTTCTCTTTTTCCTAGCTTATCTGCACTGAAAGACCATGGGAAGTTATTTTTCTAATGGTCACTTCAGCCCACTCGTCAATTAATTACTAGGCAGGATAACTCCTACATGCAATAAAGAACACGGAACAGTCTTTCACACTGGGAGATATCATTAATTCCTGTCCTATTCAACAACGACCTAGCTCTAAAGAGCAATGACATTTTCCAATGTCCTTTGAGCAAGGCCCTAGGGCTCCCCACATTCAGATCACAAGGCTAGGATAATGGTGGCATCTGCAGAAGGCTCAAGAGGGACCTCTCACAAAGGCTACTGTTAAGATGCTCACACCAGAAACAAACAGACTGAACAGACCAGGTCTACACATTCACTTGCCTCGGTCTGGGGAATAGGATATTGCCACGGTGGATGAAGACAGGCGTTTACTCATGGGAGGCTCCGTCTGCTTTGGCAAATTCATGGTTGATGTTGAAAGTTTGTCACATGCTGCAGAGAAACGCATTAAAGACATTGGTATTCGTACCACCGCAGGCCGAGAAACACATATCCCAAAGTGTGCTTCCTGTCCTCATCCACGCACTTCCTAAACACTGTGGCACAACATCATCTGTTTCCATCATCCTGGCATCTCATTAAGTTGGAAATGCCCAGGCTGCAGCGGCTGCTGCTCATCTGAGAGATCTCTGCAATTTCTTTACTGTGCTTATTCTCTTCAATTTCAAATGTCTAACCTCACTAAACTGTTCAACTGAAGCCATGCTAATTAAGCCCAGCAGCAATTCATTTGGTGTCCAGGGATTTTTAAGTTTATTCACATCACATAAAAACAAAACCAACCTGGACCCAGAGACGAATTGCTACTGGGAAGCATTCTATAGTCTGAGATTGTGTGTGCTGAAACTGAACTTTTTCTGAGGGTTACCTACAGCTCAGGCTGGAGGGAGATGAAATTTGTACTGCAAGGAGTTGTATTTAAAGCAGAAAGGCTGTTAGCAGTTGGTTTTCTTCCTCCTAGTAAGGGATGGGATCAAAATGGCCCTTTCGCAAATGCTTTAATTGTTCAAGGTTAGGATTTTAACATGTGACTCTAGGTTTGGAGTTCTCACGTGCCAGTCGTTATTTCAGACTGGTTTCCAAATTAAAGCATTACAGCAAACAAAGAGATGCTGACAGTGCCCTGCCAAGCTATGCTGAAGCCTGGGGCAAAAGGAAAAATGTGTCCTCCTGGCTATAAAGGAAACAAACTCATCAGTAAAATCTTCAAAGTCTACTCCTCTGCTCATCTTCTTTTCAAATAGAGGATGGCCATGTTCGACAATTTCTGTTGACCAAGTGACAACCTTAAATAATTTTTAATTAACTTAAACTAAAGTATAATAAATAGCCTTGGGGATAAATAAGATACTTAAACCTGAAATGATATTGTGAGTTTTAATATTCTTACTTCTCAATTTTTCGGTAATTTTTAAAGTTCTGGAAAAAATAAGCCTTAGAAATTACATAAAACCATGTATACAGGGGCACACATTTCCCCCTTTTTTCTTTAAAGAAACCTGTGTAACCAGACACATATTCCCTTTTGCCTCAGGCTCTGCTATGGCTCAGCATGGCACCAGTCTTCAGAAATTTGGTATTTTGTTTGTTCTAGATTGTTTTGCATTGATTTTGATTTGTAAAAATATTGCATAAAGGATTATTTTATCTTAATTACTAAGATTTTGGGTACCTCCTTAAATCGTGTACCTGAGTCAAGTACTATGCTCACCTCATTCTGGGCCTGGCCCTCGGTGGTGATTCCGAGTGAGTAATTACTCCACTCTGCTGGTACCTCTGTGGGGAAAGGCCAGCGCCCACACTATAGGCAACTCCGCCCTTGCAGCAAAACCTCTGCTACTAAGCACCACCAATAAGGATTATTCTTTATCTAAGGAATGCCAGAAACCAAGGACATTTATTTCTACTGCTACTATGACCTTCTGCATTGCTGGTAAATACTATGTTCCTCTTACATCTTGTTTTTGCTTTGCCAGCTGAAGATGGGTTGAATTTCTAGTTATTATTAAACACGAGGACAGTTTTACTAGTTCTGTTCTAGACCATAAGTATTTCCTAGGCGTGTATCCAAAACCGAGAATCTATTAGAGACAAAAATCTAACACAAAGCCAAATAATCTAATTATTGGGATTCCCAAGGTTAGCAACAATAAACTCCCTGCCACTCCCTCTCAAACGCCTCTCCAGGAATCCACCACATTAACACCAAGACCAAGTATTCCACTCAGAACTCTGTGATTACAGGTTTGGTAACCTGAAGTGATGGGAATGCTCTACTACTTAATGCCTAAAACAGATGAATAATGAGATTCTTTGAGATTTCAATGTGAAAAAATCAAACACTGACAAGGTTTTCAAGGCAAAACTTAGTGAGCTGAGGATGAAATGTCTCCGGGGCATGCACAGCTCCACGATGACAGAGGAACAAAGAAATATGGGCATGTCATTCACATCTGTAGAAAAAAAGTTGCAACGGGTCAGACTAAGAACTCAATCGTAAAAGTATCTGAGACAGACATGGTGATGGAGGAGGGTGATCAGAACACAAACACCATAGCACAGTGATGCGCAGGTATACCGTTGGCGGACTCAGCAGCTGCGGCAGTGGTCCCTGCGTCCGGAGGGAGGGTGCTGGCTGCTAAACCTAGAGGAGGGGGTGGGGTATTTTCTGATTCACCTACACAGCAAAAAATCAGAGCAAAGAGAGGTAAAAGGAAAAAAAAGTCCCAATTTCTTGATTTTAAGTTTCTAATTAGGAAATTAGAAAAAGTTACTGAAATAGGTTGTTGACTTCTCACAAAAGAAAAAATAAAGTATATTTATTGCCAAAAGCTTAAAAGTACAATATAGTAAAGTCAGGAAATGCCCATAAACGTCAACCCACTTGCTCTCAGGAAGTGTTAGTATTGAACTCCTGCGTAACAGAATGCTAAGATCACTGAAATGTAGTGAGACACTGAAAAGAAAGGAAAGCTACCCAGAGCCTAATAACAATCCATACATTAAATTAAGCATCGGAAAGTTTAAAGATGAGTATGAACTGGATAATGAAATAAATCACCTTGAAACAAAATTGAAAGAGCAACAAAAATTGAAAATGAGGCAGGAAAAAGTCCAGCCCTCTTTCAATGAGTAACTGCTGTTCTGTCTTTCCCGGTCATGTCCAGAGCAGTGACTGAGCCTCCTGCCATTTCCCTCCCCTGAAATCAGACCACCCCTTGGGTTTGCCAGCTGAGTCCAGCTCGCCAGGCTCTGCATTCAATGTCTTTGATTTTCTTTTGCTCTCCCTCAAAGCCCAGTTATTATATCAACTGCTGTTTGCTGCAAGAAGAATGCACAGATCAGAGATCCCCTTCATAAGAAATGCATACACAGGAAGCTTGGCAGTTTTAAACATCACCTCTGCAAATGGTACCTTTAAAGCTGTGCATAGCAGCCCCCAGATCCAATAGGTACCTGGTCATGCCCATCATCTCCTGCCTGCCCCACGAACTCCCACCAGGGCCCTGAAAGGCAGGGAGAGCTCTCAACTTACCATCACGTCCTCCGGGTGCTGTGGCCAGTGGTGCTCCCCACGAATACCTCTTCTTCAGCTCCAGCTGCTGTGTGCGCTCCATGGACCTGCGCATCATCGCCTCCAGCCGCTCCTGCCCAGTTCACACAAGGCGTCAGTGTCAGCTGAGAGCAAGATTAACTACCCAGCCTCACTGCACCGCAGCCTCAGTGCGCGGCAGGGTGAGTCACCAAATGGTGCTTTCAGTGCTTGGCATCCAAAACCCAGCACACGTGCTCTCTCCACCACACCAGCCCTTTCTTTTCTTAGTAGGTGGAAAGTAAACAATGCCCTTAGGGTAGCTGGCTGCTGAAGAGGACTAAGACCTACAGCGCACTGAAGAGGACTACGACTAGGACAGCCCACTGAGTCTGAGTCTCCTCCCCTCCCCTCCTCTCCCCTCCCCTCCCTGGGGAGAAGCTACCTTGAGGATAATGCCCAACAAGCATTAACTCCTTAAGGCCTGTCCCAAGCCCCATTTTACCCTATCCAGTAGGAGAACTGGAATTTTGCTCCAGAACCAACTGTATCCTTTCTAGTTGAAAGCATAAAACATTCTGATTTGAGAAGAGTTAAAATATAATTTTGACCTTTTGCAGCCTTAAATGTAACTTTTTAGGGTGATACATGACTTTGAAATCTTTGCAAAGCTCCATTTTTTATCTTCAAACTTCTGAAAGGAGAATCAATTGTTTCCATATTATAACACTTTCCTGCTACAGACAGTGCCCTTCAGATAATAATATTGCTTGTTTCAAATGCAAAACAGATAAGAGCAGGGAAATTTCTGGCCACAAAATAAAGCATCCATTTATTCCCAAGAGTTAGGCAGGTTTAGGGAGGGATGGGAAGGCAGAACTCAGCAACTTGTAATCAGTAGAGAAAACAACCAAGTTTCTTTTAACAGGATTTATCATTTATGAAAAGCACTCTTCTGCAGTGCCTGCATTGTTATTTTCACAAAGCTGTCCTTGGTACTGGAGTGAAGGTAATTCTGCACTCTCCACCACCTCAGTGACACTGCAAATACCAACGCCTCTCCCTGCCTCCACTGGAGATAGTTTGCAGCAAGGCTGGCACTTATGATGACAATGGCCTTTAGCCTTCACGAAACCCAACTAACCCTAGCCCTGACTCCAAAACAAAAAGATACATTTTTCTCATGGCTTAAAAAAAATAAACAAAATTAAATTAGGACAGCATCAGCTGAGTAACCATGTTAAAGATCAGGAAAAGGCTACTTTATGCCACTTACTAGACGCACATAAAGGTCACTTAGTAGGTGCCTGGATTCACCCCTTCCGTCTATACCAGAGGGGTGAGATGAACATTTGCGTTCTCCATATCTTAGCCTTCTCTGCATAATTTTTCTCTGAATAGCACTTTGCTAAGTGATTGCCTCTCCGGGGACCTGTGTGCAGAAAGGGGAATTTTTTTTCCTCCTGTCTTGTATTTGTATTGGCTATTAATTGTGCTCTAGTTTTTGGCCTGAGACTCTATAATCATGAGTGTGCATTTCCTGGCAGCGTCCTGTCCTCATGACCCTGGCTGATTAAATTATGATGGTTAACCCAGTGGTCTGCCTGATAAAAGTAGGGGCTTGGAGGGAACAGAATTCCTCTACCATCTGATGCCTGGAGTACAGCCATTCAAGACAAAGGCTGAATGGTATTTCATTATATGGATTTAACATAAAGTAGTTAACCAACAACCTAATTTAAGTGTTGAAACCTTTTGCCCTCAAGTGAATTTAGCACTGGGTGGGTTATAGTAGATTTCCTACATGCCAGAAGGACCTCACAAGATAGTCCCCTCTCTACTAAGGGACCAACGACAACAAAGAACACTGAGACTCACCGAGCCAGCCTCACCATGGAGCAGCTGTCTTGGGGGCATAATTATAAGGGAATGCTTACTTAAAGCCAGACCTACCCTGAACTGCTCGGTTACCTTTAGGAAAGCTACCTCTGCCATCCACCCCCAGTCCACTGAGCTGCTCCATATCCCACTACCGGAGAGACACTCCTTTGGATCTTGAGTAGGCTGATAAAAATATAGCTATCCCTGAGAGAAAGACACAGTCACTCTGCATCGCCCACTTTTAGAGAGATAATGTAGAAGAGGTGGTGGTAAAGCTCCAAGGGAAGAGGATTTATGGAATCCCCCAGAGGCAGAATGGGGTGATCCAAACACATCAAAAACAAAACTTGTCCACTGTACTCTTATTAGAGCAGTGTTTTCCAGCCTTTCTTATCTCATGGCACACTTGAACCAATAGTTAAAATGCGGCACACTTAAATTAGGTTGATCAAAAACAAAAAAAAAAGAGTAAAAAACACAACATACTGGCTTGGCACCTGTAGCACAGTGGTTACAGCACCAGCTACATACACCAAGGCTGGTGGGTTCGAACCCAGCCTAGGCCAGCTAAACAACAATGACAACTGCAACAACAACAAAAAATAGGTGGGCATTGTGGCAGGAACCTGTAGTCCCAGCTACTTGAGAGGCTGAGGCAAGAGAATTGCTTAAGCCCAAGAGTTTGAGATTGCTGTGAGCTGTGACACCACGGCATTCTACCAAGGGTGACATGGTGAGACCCTGTCTCAAAAAAAAAGAGAACATACTGTGCTTTGAACTTCTTTCGAAAATAATTTAATTAATGATCTTTAAATTTTTCGCAGTGTACCTAAGATCCTCTCATGGCATACCAATTGAAAATGACTGTGTTAGAGGTTAGTCCTGTATGGCTGAGTACTGCTTCATGTTCATGTATAACTTTCATGTGATGAAAAGATTTCTAATAGATTGGAGTCAGGATAAGGATTCAAGTCTAATCTCTGCCACTTTTTAGCCCTGTGATGTTGAACCAGTCATTTCACATTCTTGGGCTTCAGTTTCCTCACCTATAAAACGAGGATGGTCTCACCTATATCACCAGATCAGTCTAAATTTATGGGATAATGACTAGCATGTGGTAAGTCCTTAACCAATACTAACTGAATCTGAATTTGAAGAGGAAGTTTATTAATGGGACAATGTGGACCAGTGGTTTTCAAACTTACAGGTTCATGTGTCAGAATCCCATGAACAGTGTGTTAAAACACAGGTTGCTGGGGTTTATTCCCAGGGTTTCTGAGTCAGTAGGTGGGAGGCAGAGCCCACTAAGAATATGCATTTCTAACAAATTTCCAGGTGCTGCTGGTCCTGGGACCTCATAGTGAGAGCCGTATGTCCTTGAGCATGAAAGTGAGCAAGAAAAAGTCCCGAAGTCCCATCACATCAGAAAACCAGTATTAGTAAATATTAGAAGTGTATATTGCAGTTCCTGCCAAGTTCTGGTTCTCCCAAGTAGCATCTGATTGTCACCAGAGGATGGGGAAAGAGCAAGGCAAATTATTGTCCCTAGAACATCTCTATTGGGTGGGGCTTAGTGGAAAGAAGAAAGGAGAGAACCTTCCCTTTGATCCCTTGAGCTCTGGCTTTAGGTCTGCCCGGATGAACTTGGAGAAACGTGACCAACGTGCACTCACTAAGCAGTACAAAGGGCCTCCAGCAAGGCCCTACCCAAACACTATTACCCAGATAGCATGAGTGGGGGTGGCTGCACCTGTTCCACTGCTCTTTGTATATGTGTTCTGGGGATCACAATGCAAGGACAAGCCCCCAGTGACCCTCAGCAGGGCTCTGTAGGGGGCCGTTCTCTCTGCAAACAGATGTCCACATCTGGCCAGGAGGCTGTGTGGTCAGCATGGCACCTTGCCAGCCAATGCCCTGGGAAAACAGCCAACCCTCTGCTGAGTGAAGCTCTTATTCAGGTGAATTGATATTTTTTGTTTTATACCAAACCTGGTGGGTTTTGTTAGGTATCAAGAAATAAGAGAATGAGCTTTGATGTGTCAAAATAACTTAAAGAGATGAAAATACTCTTTGAAAAAAGCCTTTCCTGGTTATCTATTTAGCATGAGAAACCTGGAGGAATTCCTAGGCAGGAATCTATAGTTCCCTGAATGGAGAATGGGTGAGTACACTGTCTTGTCAGTCCTAACTCAGGTGACAGGAATTTGTTCCAGCAGTTTAATTCTTGGGAACTGTGTTGCATGTGAAGGTTGCAGAAACCCACCTTAAGGAGTAGGTGGCCTCCAGGAAGAGAATGAATTCAAGATCAGGGTCTCAAGTAGATAATAGACTACCCTTCTCCCTGGGATGGGCTTGAGCAGCTTCCACTGCTGCCAACTCTTGAGACTACTGGGAGCCAGGACATTGACGGTTGTTAGGCCTTTTATGAGCATCTAAATTATCAGACCCAAGAGGTAGGACTTGCTGGGCAACACAAACACTTTCCAACAGGCTAGAGAAACAAAATGGCGTATTTCTCAGGATGAACAATCTTTCGGTAGAGGCTTTTCTCTGGTTGACAGATACAGAGCATGACAAAAAGAACTAAAATTTAACATTGAGAAGAGAATAATCTCCACTTTTAGGCAACAAGCAGGCAGCAGCCCTCCCAGAGCTCTCCTCAAACCCTGGGGGTCAGCACAGAAGCTGTCCCTTGAACAGGGGCTTCTGTGGTGTGGCCTATCCCTCCTCCCTAAAGGTCCCCCATGAGAATGCCAAGCAGGCCTCTGTACTGATGAGGAAATAACTCTGATGTGGTTAACAGGCCAGCCTATGCATGGCAAGTCCCTAAGCTACAGCTGGGTCTCCCAGGACCCTGAGGGCAGGAGCAGGTGGCAGAGGAAGGCTGCTGCTTCCTTGGGTTGCTACCCAACCGTTGGAGGCCCAGCTCTCAGCCCTGCCCTGCTGTGTCCAGGGAGAAGTGGGAAGCGAGCTCAGCTTGTGCCAGTGCTCAAAAGGGTCAGATGGCACTGCCCCACACATTAGGGGTACAAGAAATACACAAACAAATAGAAAATCATCTGGAAATGAAACCACTGAAGATTCTGCTGCATCAGGACCAACCTTCTGGCATGACATTCCCTCATCTGCAAGAAGGGGGAGTGTGACTGGTAATTTAACATGCATGTAGCACTGATATTCTAAATAAAAAAAATCAGAGACAGGCTCGGCACTGGCCACATACATCAGGCTGGTAGGTTTGAGCCCAACCCAGGCCTGCTAAACAACGACAACTGCAATCAAGAAATTGCCGGGCATTGTGGTAGGCGCCTGTGATCCCAGCTGCTAGGCAAGCTGAGGCAAGAGAATCGCTTAGGAGTTTGAGGTTGCTGTGAGCTGTGATGCCACAGCACTCTACCAAGGGTGACATGGTGGGACTCTGTCTTTTTTTTTTTTTTTGAGACAGAGCCTCAAGCTATCCCCCTGGGTAGAGTGCCATGGCATCACAGCTCACAGCAACCTCCAACTCCTGGGCTCAAGTGAGTCTCCTGCCTCAGCCTCCCAGGTAGCTGGGATTACAGGCGCCCGCCACAATGCCCACCCATTTTTTTTTTTGGTTGCGGCCATCATTGTTGTTTGGCAGGCCCGGGCTGGGGATTCAAATCCACCACCTTAGGTGTATGTGGCTGGCACCTTAGCTGCTTGAGCCACAGGCGCCGAGCCTAGGGACTCTGTCTTAAAAAAAAAAATCAGAGACAGAAATTATCTCAAAAGCAGGACACTGTAGGGTGTATCAGAGCCTGGGAAGTGTCCAACATGACTTCACAGTGTCCCTTCCTACAAGCAGCAGCCACAAGCTTTCTCTTGAACCAGCAAGCCCACAGGATGTCAGGAATCAAGAGAGAGAGATCAGGGAGCAAAAGGACAAGCTCTAAGTCATCAAAGTATGGAAGAGGGAAGAAAATGGGTGAGCCCAGTGACTCATGACAAATACACAGGTTAGGAAAGGAGAAATCGCTCCTAAGTTACCAAAACAGCCTGCCATACTGTGGCTTTTTTCTTAAGTCTACAGACTCGTTTCAATAATCTCTTCTGGGTAGCTCCTTCTTGATCTTGCTTCAGCCAAGGTCAGCTGAAGTAGCTCAGAGGAATCTAACATTTCTGAGCAATTACTCTGAGCCAGGTGTTTCACTAGGAACTTCACAAGTCACCTTCCTGAATTCCTGTAACCATCTGCTTTAAGCTAAAGAGACAGAGGGATATGTGGCCACCAGCTGCTTAACAGTAAAGATAGGATTTAACTACAAGCAGACAATAGTGACCCGTGGCTAAGGCCCTTGCATGGACCTTCCTTTGGTAAAAGGAATCACCATAAAAGAGTGATTCCTGGACAAAGATGGGTCTAATTGTGTATGTGCATGTGTGTGTTTGTGTTCTTTAAATTAAAAAAAAAAAGTGGAAGGTAAATTAATGAAAAAAAAGTAAATACAGTGATACACTGTTCAGACACTTAAAAAGTCCTAAATTTACACAAACATTTTTGTATTCTGTAGCGCTGGAGATAAAGAAGCCTCTACATTATTCATACTAAAAGATGAGTCATCATATCTTACAAATAAAAAATGATCATCACCATGATCTGATATAAGGTAATGATTATATCCCTGAAATATAATTGTTAAGAAAATCTATACTCCAAATATGCTTTCTAAATATATATCCAAAGTTCGGTAACAAAGAACTCTGTAGGGATAATTACATTCCATTTCTTCTTTTAAAAACTAACCGGAAAGAAAGGGCGATTAAAGCAAGGAACTGCATTAAAATTTAAATATGCTAGCATCTTGGTATTTGAAGGTAGACTCATTTTTCCAGCAGTGACTCACAGGATCATGTTGTTCTTGAGTCTCACAGCTCTGGCTCTGGTGTTGCGTCTGCCCTGGAGACACAGATTCCTTTCTGTAAACCTCAGATCCACATCACCCAGCCCCTAGCCACCACCTACCTCTCAGTCTTGGTTTAGAGTCAGAAAGGCTAGACCTGGAAGAAGCCCTGCACACTGCCAAATCCAACTCCCTCCCTTTAGAGACTAACAAACTGAGGTCCAGAGAAAATGAACACTGTGTTCAGTGGGTAAGTCTCTCTGTTCCTATGCCATGCTGTTGCGAGGCCCTGGAGAAGGGCAGGGCAGGATACCGAGGTGCCCTGGGCACTGAGCCCCACCTCCTCCTCCCGCAGCTTCTGCCTCCTCTTCTCTTCCACAGCTGCCCTCTTCTGGTCCTCCCGTTGCCGCTGCTCTTCCAGTTTGCGCCATCGCTCCTCCATTTGCTTTTCGTATTGGAGCTTGGCTCTTTTCTCTTTCTCCAGGATCTGCTGTTCCCGGGCAGCTAGGGAAGGAAAGCGAGAGAGAGGTGTCATTACCAGAGCATCCCATGACCTTTAGTGAACCCAAATCATAGAAGCAAGGATGGCGACCCCCAAAATGGCTTGGTGGGGTTCTAGGATGCAGTGATGGAGATAAAGTGTTCTGGAGCCTCTGTCACAAGCTGGGAGACCCTGGGCACGTTAACTATGCAAACTTTCTGCCTTGGTTTCCTCCTCTATGGGGTGGGGTGGACATGTTTGTGGCATCAGAGTGTGGAGATCATCTAGCCAATGCCCATAAAATACACAGTAAGAACCTCCGCACATGGGAGCAGCTAGGATTGTTATCAAGTCAATTTGGGGACTACGGCTAAGCCATACTCCGAGCTGAGAAAGGATGGTTGTGAGGGTGCATTCATTCCCGAACAGGTTAACTATGCATGTACCACGGACACGGAGCTAGCTCAGAGGGTAAAACACACAAATAAGGCTGGCCTTCTCCTCAAGACGTTTACTAAGGGGCCCTTAACTCCATCTGGCCAGGTCAGGGAAGGGTTACCTGGAGGAGGCAATGTCTGAAGCGACAAGCAGAAGACAGTCAAGGAGAAGAACTGGAAAGTTCTTCATTGTTCTCAAGTCCACAGGGAAACCACTGTCTACCTACCGCATAGTACCCTGCGGACAACACTCTGGACTTATCTGTCTGTATCCTGCAGGAGCTAAGATGGCCTTTCTCAACCAGGGTTTCCTGTCCTAATATCTAAAATGACTTAAGTGCCTATTTCTCCCAAGGATGGCCCTTCCAGATGCCCAGGAGAGAACCCGAGTGAGTACACACAGCGGACACTTGAGAGCATCAGGACTTCCTCAGGTCAGGGACGGCAACTGTTTCTCTATCTTTGCTGTCATATCTGTGGCCCTAGCAGAGTGCCTACAACACAGCAGAGGCTCAATGCTTGCTGAGTACGTGAATGAACCATCCTGAGAATTATATGGCATTTGTGAACTTTCCAGTGGAAGTGTAGGTTCAAACCCCAATTCGTCATCTAGCAATGTTCAAGTTCTCTTCCCATTCATGTGCAAATTTCTAGGGATCTTCAGAAAAGCCACCACCCTATCTGCACTCTTAGACCTAAACAGCCAAAGTTCACCACTTACCCAGACATTTATCTCTTTCTTCTCGTCTTTCTTTGGCCAATCTTTGTCTCTCATCTGATTTTAAAAATCCATCCATGCCTATGAGAGAGAAAACTAGATGATTTTTCAGTTCTTCATTCTTTCTCTATCTGCTGAGTGCTAGAGGAACTGAGCAAGAACCCCAAGTCTGGCTGCAGGCCCACATCATCCATCCCATCACTTCATCCAAAGGAGGTCCGATCTATCACTCTCCACACACAGCCAGGCCCCGATGGTGGAGGGGCAGTGGGCACAGCTTCCACACACACCTGCCAACTGCTATAGTAGTGCCGACGCCAACCCCAGATTGCCAAGCCCTTTCCCTAATCCTCCATCCCCAGGCTGGGCCCTGGAGGGATCAGAAAGTGCAGTAGGTGACGGAAGGGTCTGGGAGCAATCGAAGCACCAAGGTGATGAGACTTGGGATGCTGATTGTCACACAGATACTGAGCATTTTACTTTCTGAAAGGAGCCAATTGCTGAGGGATACATATGAGCTTCTCTGGTGAGCACTGTGAACTACAACACCCAAGTTCAATTTTGGTACTGCCAAGTTTGTACCAATGTCAATCTTAGTATTTTAGAATCATTGAAACATCTGTAACAAGTAAGATGAAACAAATGACAGCTCCCCCCCGCCCCAAATGCCTGGGAAATATCCGTGGAGCTCCATCTCCACTTAACCCCCAAAGGACGCTAAAGGGCTCCCTAAACAAAAGATTAAATGAGCAGGGTGTGGTGGCTCATGCCTATGATCCTAGCACCCCAAGAGGCTGAGACAGGTGGATTACTTGAGCCCAGGAGTTTGTGACCAGCCTGAGCAAGAGCAAGACTCTGTCTCTAAAAAATAGCCGGGTGTTGTGGCTAGTGCCTATGGTCCCAGCTACTTGAGAGGCTGTGGCAGGAAGATCACTTGAGCCTAGGAGTTTGAGGTTGCTGTGACCTATGGTAACACCATGGCACTCTACCCAGGGTGACAGAGTGAGACTTTGTCTCAAAAAAAAAAAAAAAAAGAAAGAAAGAAAAGAAAAGAAAAATAGATCTTCGTGATTGTTTTAGGATTAGAAAGAATGTATTCTGTCACAATCGGCTGTTCACAAGTACTATCTATATGTTTAAGCACACCATGCTGAAGAAATTGACTTTAGTGTTAATATAACCAGATCCACTTTCCCAGCATCTGGGAGGATCACAGGCTGACTTCATAGTGTGCCCTGCTGCCATAGCAACTGCACTCATTCCAAGATGGTTCCTGCTGTGTCCAGGAGACGGGCCTGGAGGCTTAGCTTGCAGTGTAGGCAGTGGGAATGTGCATGACGTGACAAATGCTGGATAGTCAAGATTCTCCACATGTGCCTGGTTTTTCAGCTTGTATTATGTATTGGCGATATTAAAACTCATGAGAGAAATACTAAAAAATCAACCTTGGACTACAAGTGTCATCCACTCTGGTTGTATTTAGTCAACTCTTAATCATTAAAATGCCACCAATAATATGAATATTGTCCTAACTTGGCTGGACATGATAGCTCATGTCTATAACCCCAGCACTTTGAGAAGCTTAGGTGGCAGCATCACTTAAGGCCAGGGGTTCAAAACCAGCCTGGGCAACATAATGAGACCCCATTGCTCCAAAAAAATAGAAAAATTAGAGGGGCATGGTGGGAAGGCTTTAGTGGGAGTATTGCTTGAGCCCAGGAGTTCGAGGCTGTGATGAGCTAAGAAAATACCACTGTGCTCCAGCCTTGGTGACAGAGTAAGACCTTGACTCTAAAAAGAATAAAGGTTCTAAAGAATAAAGGTTCAAGTGCCCGCTTCGGCAGCACATATACTAAAATTGGAACAATACAGAGAAGATTAGAATGGCCCCTGCGCAAGGATGACACGCAAATTCGTGAAGCGTTCCATATTTAAAAAAAGGCTCAGCGCCTATAGCTCAACTGGCTAAGGCGCCAGCCACGTACACCTAAGGTGGCGGGTTCGAATCCCCAGCCCGAACCCGCCAAACAACAATGACGGCTGCAACCAAAAAATAGCCAGGCGTTGTGGCGGGCGCCTGTGGTCCCAGCTACTTGGGAGGCGGAGGCAGGAGACTCGCTTGAGCCCAGGAGTTGGAGGTTGCTGTGAGCTGTAATGCCACGGCACTCTACCCAGGGGGACAGCTTGAGGCTCTGTCTCAAAAAAAAAAAAAAAAAAAAAAAAAAAAAAAAAAAAGAATAAAGGTTCAACTTCTCAGCTCATACCAGGCACCCCTCAATATGATTCCAAACTCTCTTCCCAACTTTACCTCAGTACTGCCCTTTCTCCCACCCAGCTTCTGGCTCATACTACCCTTCTAGTCTACCCCTGCCCACACCTGTTTAAACTCTCATCGACCTTCAAGTCCCTATGGCAACCAGACCCGTGATGGCTTGCGTTCCCACACACATCCAGAAACCCTTATTTCACTCTCTGCTTTCATACAGAGCTCTCCCTCTGTGAGTCTCTCCCGGTGGGCTCCAGAGCCATGTGTGGCTGACACATCTCTAGGTCTGTCCAGCTGGGGCCACCATTCCTCACACAGGGGCCCTAATGTGCACACACAATGCTCCGAGGCAGGCATGAAGTTAGCAGAAGAGGGGCAGGGAGAGAAAATCAGGTTTCTCCTTTCCCCAAACACTTTCAAGTTATAGTTTCTAGCTCAAGAGTTTGATTAATCAGAGTTAGTTCTGTGTGAAAAGCTACAAAGAAAATCCTAGGATGCCTGGACAGATGCTTCCAGTAATGGTCACAGCAATTCTCCCACCCAGGTAGGACCTGAACCTTGTTCTGTACTGTCCTCACCACCCTAGATGTTAACAGGCCTGCCCTATGTGTCAGGTAAGCCTGAGAACTCCTGAAAGTGTTCTTCTAACAGAGGGGAGAATGAGAAACTGAGGAGAAGGGCTGAGCACATCTGAAACGGCTCACCTTACCTAGAGGCTGCTAATTCCACACACATGCATGATTTTAGACTGCCCTCTCATGGGCACAAATAAGAGTCACACCTTCAAATCCTTCCTTTCCAGAAAAGCTTTATCATGCTCACAGTCACCATCACCAGCACCATCCTAACAGGAGATAACAACTTACTATGGACCAAGTACACTGCTGGACGTACTCAGCCCAGCCACCCTCCGATCATGTAGGCACTGTTACAATCCTTGTCTTACAGGTGTGGAAACAGAGGTGCAGAGAGGTTAACGTGTCCTAGGTCACACTGTCAGAAAGTGGAGAAGCCAGATTCCAAGGCAAGAACCTGACTCCTGGACCCGCACTCTTAATCACTGCTTTCTTGTGCTGCTTCCCGTCAAAGGAAGAAATGTAACACCTTGATCTTGGTGCTGTGACGCAGTGAGGCACACAGGGATCAAAACCTAACCTCGTCCCAAGAATGAGCCTGCAAATCTGGACAGTGGAAGTGCAGGTCTAACTCATTAGAGAAAGATGGAGCCAGCAGTATTGTAAGCCCAGCACCGGCCCAGCTGGGCACAGATGTGGCAACTGCCCAGGCAGGCTAATTATTGGTTCCTCATAAAACTGATGGTTTGGAAATGTTTGCTCAACAATATTTTAGAGAGGCTGATGCTGGCTGGACGAAGGGGGATGGGCCAGAGGACAGTGTGGGCAACTGTAGGTACCAAGAAATTCAGTTTCGCCCCACTGAGGGGGTGGGTGGGTGGAGTGGCTCAAACAGTCCAGCATGGGTAAGTTAGAATCTCTGCATTGTCCATTTGGCAGCCACAATCCACACATGGCTATTTCAACTTAATATAATCAAACTTCAATACAATTACAGGTTCAGTTCCTCAGTCATACTGGCATATTTCAGGCGCTCAGCCACATGTTCCTGGTGGCTGCCACGCTGCACAGCACTGAGTAAGAAGCCTGGCAGCTCCTTCCTGTGATTCTCTCATGTTTAGCTGCTCTGGGGCAGATGCAGACAAGGAAGGTCTCAGGGTACAATGAGAGTTGAGGTGTGCTGGGTGAGTGAGACTGAGGGTAGGGCTTCATCCCTTCCCCCACACAGAATCTGTCTCTCTTGTCTGTCAAGCAAACATTCCTGGAACATCTCCTCGAAGAGGAGCCAAATGGTTAACTCACATCTCCAACTTTCACCTTGTGACCCTCCATCACTCCTGGAGGCTGCTAAGTCCCTGAGCTCATCCTGAGGCAAGGAGATAAGCACCCTTAGCTGTTAAGGGTCATGGACTTGATCAGCTACTACCATTACCACAGCCCAGCCAGGTTTAAACCAGTGGAATCAAGGTAGATTATCATGAATATTAACACCAGAAGACACCCTCTAAATACACAATATATCCAAAAGTTAATGATGAATTTGGTTCTAAAAGGGAAGTCTTTCTTTATGGCCTGAAATCCTGAAGTGTCTAGTTTTCCCATTCAATTGTCCTTTGTTCCATGTCCCTTACTAGATGCACATATTATCTTTTTTTTGAAAAAAAAAAAAAAACAGGGACCCAATTTTATCTTTGAACTCTGAGAAGTGATGGAAACAAATCTGTGCCTTTGTGCTTGCCAGGCTGGATGGGTCAAGGGCAGGCAGGAAGGTGGATAAGACCATCATGAGGAGTCCTCGTGGGGATGAAAATGTTCCCCATCTCGCCCACATCAGTATCAACATCCTGGTTGTGCTACAGTATCATAGTTTTGCAACGTGTCATCATTAGGGGAAACCGGGTGAAGGGTAGCTGGGCTCTCTCTGTAATATTTCTTATAATTGCATGTGAACTGACAATGACCTCAAAAGAGAGCAGTTTAACTACAAAAAAAAAAAAAAAAAAAAAGGCCTAGTCCAAGTGTGAAGCTCTGGTAGGGCCCCAAAGACAAAGAGGGAGCAGGACACCTTCTCACAGGTGCCCTACCCGGAAAAAGGACCAGGCCTGCCCCACTCTTGATGCAACATTTCCCAGGGCAACAGCCTCCAGGTAAATGAGCACCTCTGAAATAGAGACCTCTTCCTGGACAATTCATTCCTATAATAAGTTAGAATAAAACAGGGATCTTGAACAGCCAAACAT